GTATGTACTGTATGTGCGTACTAGTGTTCGAGAAGTCAGCACTTTTTTTTAGAACAACAGTGGATTGATAATCTGTTGTGGTCACTACACGAGTGTCTGTTGGTGTGTGTGTGTGAGTGAGTGAGTGAGTGAGTGAGTATATTAATGAATAAGGCTACAGAGTGAACTAGTTTGTGTGGCTGTATTGATCTGTGTAAGTATAGTGTGTGTAGATCTTGTTTTTGAAATTACTCTTCATAAATATATTATTTTATGTATTTATTTTGCCTGCCCAGTCAGTTTATGTGACCAGTGTTCAATGTCCAGAGCTCTTTGATCTGTTATGACTATTGGAGATGTACGGCCAGATGCAAAATGTGTTACTGCAATAAAAAACTAACAGGCTGCCATTAAAAGTTTACTCCTATTTGCGCTGTTGAGTATTCCTTCCATTGCTGTGCTAGTAGCCACAACAACAGTGATTTGCAGTGTTATTAGTAATATTTTAATAATACATTTAAATAAATATTAAAGGGTTGGTTAACCAAAAATGAAAATGATCCCATATTTTTTTTATTTCTTTTAATAACTCCTTTTAATCTTATTGAGAACATGTATCCTTTTGAATGGAGAGCATAACATCTGGAATCAAAGGTTTAATACAAGCTTTATATTTATTAGAATTATGGAAGAAATATGGGAAATATTTTATCTATTGTACAACGTCAGTTCCAGTCTAACCATGATTCCAGCAGCAATGGGACTTTTCACTTTTGGGTGTCACTTTTTCATGCATGAGGGATTGAATCATTCAATCTTCAAGAATTCTTTCTTCTGTTGAACACAGAAAAAGATATTTTGAAGAATGTCGGTAACCAAACAGTTGACGGTAGCCATTGAATTCCATATAGAAAAAAAAAAATACCATTGAAGTCAATGGCTTCCGTCAACTGTCTGGTTACCAATATTCTTCAAAATATATTCTATTGTGTCCAACAAAAGAAAGAAACTCATACAGGTTTAGAGCAATGTGAGGGTTAGTAAACAATGACACATTTCATTTTTGGGTGAACAATATACCTCTATATTTTGCTGCATTGAGCTTTCCTTCTACTCTGAGGCGTCTTTGTCACTGAAAAACACCCGCACAGCATGATGCTGCTACACCACACTTTCCTGCTGAGATGGTATTGTGCAGGTGATAAGCAGTGCCTATTTCCTCCATACATGATGCTTTATTTGGAACTGAGGTTTATCAGACCTGAGATTATTGTTTCTCACAGTCCGAGAGAGTCCTTGAGGTATTTGTGTGTGTGTGTGTGTATTCCAAGTGGGTTTTCATGTGTCTTCACTGAGGAGAGAGTTGAGTCTGACCACTCTGCCAAAAAGCCCAGATCAGTGGAGTTTTGAGGGGATGTTTGTCCTTGTTTGTCCTGTCTGGAGCTCAACCATCAGCTTCTTAGTCACCACTCAAACCAAGGCCCTTCTCCATCGATTGCTCAGCTCTAGGAAGAGTCTTTTTTCCCTTTTTTTTCTGGTTGTTCCAAACATCTTCCATTATATATTATGAAAGCTGCTGTTCTATGAACAGTCAATGCAGATGATTTTTTGTAGTCTTCCCCACATCTCAGTGTTAATACAATCCTGTCTCTGAACTCTACAAGCAGGTTTAAAGCTATGCCGTTTTATCAGCGATAGCAAAATACAGGTCATTGTTTCATATTTCTATTGCTGTTGGCAGTTGTACCTCTGTAGTGGAAATCTTGAATGTTCTGTATGTTAACCACATGTAAACCTTGCTTAATTAAAGACTTGGTTGAGATTAGGAGTTAAGGATTGAACATGTCAGAACAAGACCAAAGACTGATGCACACAGATGCACACAATTGAATCGTTGTACTTCTGATATACAATCTCTTGTTGGTTGTGTTTGAAGGTCTTTGAACCTCCATCAGAGTTTCACAATGAAGTGTGCACATTATTATCTATTCTAGATGATTCGAGCAATATGAGGAAATACATCCAGCTTTACAAGCATGGGCAAAAGAATAGCATGTCAAATGAAAGAACAGAAAGGTATTTCTTTTAAAAAGCAAGCATTTCTAAAGTTACTGGGGGGTGACATATTTGCAGCTGTCCATGTAAAAGAGATTCATTTTTTTTTTCAATAGAAGTGAGAAAACGTGTCCTGAAAGGCTGTCCTTGATTTAATGTTTACTTCAACAATTCAATTTCACTTCAAGCTGTGTATTGAAGTGGTCTTTTCAACTCTGATATGTGGTATTGAAACAGAAAAAGGACAAAGGTTTTTTACACGCTCTCTGGAATGCTCGATTCTAATTGGTCAGTCGCAACATCCAATGGTCAGACATCTCCTACACTGTAAAAAATAATCCTGTAAAAAACGGTAAACTACTGCAGCTGTGGTTGCCAGCATCATACCATAAAAATACGGTGTGTTACTGTTTTTGAAATCAACAACTAAATATCATTTTTTTTAGCTATACAGTATACAACTGTAATTTAACAGTAGCAGACAAAATTGTTAGATGTTTAGCTGTTAATAAAAAAATAAATAAAAAATGTGTTACACTGCATGCCAGTAGTTAACCGTTATTTTACACGATTATTTTTTACAGTGATATTTTCAGTTTTTCATGGTCTGCTGATCAGTCATCCGGGTAACTGCAACCGGCCGTACTTTTTTCCATTTTCCACTACTTTTTGCCATCGTTAGCCTGTTTTGTTTATTATAATGTGACCTCAGAGGACTTAAGTAAACCGTTTCGTAAGTTTTAATGGATTATTTAAAAAGAAAAACTTAAATGTTCATTGAATTTAATTTTTTAAGATAATGACCGGCTGACATGATAACATTAACATCATTAGAACTAAAAATTAAATGTTATTAATTTGATTTTATTAATGAACTAATTTTAGCTTATTCTTGCTTGTTAAGGAGAGCAAACCATCATCACGTCTTTGCAGATATTAATATTAATGGAAATCATTTCTTTTTTTTACATGAAGAAATGGAAATAGCCTTGTTATAATAGCATAGTTCTGAAGCATGCAGATGACTTTACAACACACACACACACACACCGGCCTCTTCAAAAGTGTGTCTAACACTTTCATGTGCCTGTGCCCTCGCCCTGCGGTGATGACTTTGATATGTGCTTTTATGGGATCAGTGGGAATAGGATTTTGCCTGGTTATTATGACAGAGACCTCCTCATTTCTCTGATCCGCACTCCAGTCCTCTTCTTCTGCATAATCCCCACATGTTCTACTTCAGCCTTCATTTCCCTGCTGGTGGGAGGCCCAGAGAAACATTGAATGTTATCTTCAGCACCCAGTTCACTAGCAGATCAGATCAGATATTAGCACTTCTTTGTAACGAATCATTGTTCACCTTATGTTTGTCCATAGAGTCATAAATTAAATAAATCTATAATCTCTTCACTATTCTTAAAGATTTGGAAATGACTTGACTGAGCTTTGAGAAGCAACCACTGATCACTGGATGCAACCCAGCAAATCACAGTTTGGGCTAATACTAATATCTATTAGGCCTTGTCAGGTTTTCATTATTGTCAAATGAGGCTTTACGCCAATATTATTCCTTTCAGTCTTCATTTATAGTTTATAATTAACGTAAACATATAATGAAAATAACGTGCCTACCCAGATATTTTAATCACTCATGAATCATCATATACAGCACAAAGCACATATTTGCTGTTCAAATTTACATGATACACTTTATAATGACTGAATTAATCAGATTCACCTTTAGAGGAAGAGCAATCATTCTTCAGAACAACTGAAAAAAAGCAACCAGTCCAAGAGAGTACAGACAGAGAAACCTTTTTAAGTCTCTTTTTAAATGAAGTGATGTATATCACACACTGCCCCTATTATGTTTTCATTATGACTGCAAAGAGACAATTTATTAATTTATCTGAATGTGAACAGTCTAATTTTTCAGCACAATGCGAGTTATGCCGCAATTTTTAAAACTATAGCATTTTAAAATTAGCATTTTGTACAAACCAATACCCCACAACCCCAATTCACTCTATATGCTGTTCCTCTACATTGGCACACAGTGAGCAGGGATTCTTAAAGGACAAATGAAGTCTATGCAGTAGCAAATCCCCTGCGACAGGTTCTCCTCCAAAAGCATGAACTTTATGTAACAATTCAGAGTGAAACAGTGGGACAGATGTATTTATTCTGCTATTGATTATGGTGCCTGAACTATATGCAACAGTTTCCTTTTAGAACTGTGTCGGCACCGAGTAACAGCCAGCAGGGTTAATTCTCTTTGGTTTATGGTTTTTACATGACCAACAAAATGACTTTGTAAACATAACATTTATTTGTCGGACAACATGTTGTTTGTTTAAGAGGTTTTAAGAAATAATAATAAGAAATGTTTTATATATATAATATATAAGTTTAATATATATATATATATATATATATATATATATATATATATATATATATATATATACAGTATATATATATATATATATACAGTATATATATATATATATATATATATATATATATACAGTATATATTATTATATATACAGTATAGTATATATATTTTTTTCCTCTTTGGTGATCAAAAGACAAATATTTAAACTGAACACCAGCGATGTGAACCTTATTTTTTTGGAGTAAAAAAAAAGTATTCAAAAACACATTGTAACTAATACTTGTACAACAACATCTTTGTCTAAAAACATTTGTCTAACGAGTTTTACAATTTAACAGCCCAATCCACTCTATATGCCGTTCCTCTACATTGGATAGAAAACAAAACAAAATCTCTTTATTGGCAATACCAAAAGAGTTTTGAATTAGCATGCTGTCCTCGAGATCTGTGGGCACTGGGCTGGCAATTTAACGGCTCTGCTGGCAACCACACAGCTGTCTCAGGAAGTACTTTCAAACACAGGGTCATCCATCTCACATAGGGTTAAAAGGTTTGAGCTGTTGTGAACCTGTAGAGAGCAGCATTTGATATAATCACATACTTCTATACTATCAGCTCTTCCTTACAGTAAAGAGGGCGGGGCGAATAGTAAAGCTCGTGCATTTTCCTGTCGTGGCAGCCGAAACATAATCGTTTTTACACCAAACTAGTTATCTACTAACTGCTTCTAAGTGGATATATTCCGAATATAGGCTATTATTTTAACTAGTTATTAGCGGTTTGCAAGCGTGTATTCACGTTGAACATCGATTGACGACGAAGACCGCTCTTTAGGAGCCTGGTGGGACTTCAGTGTACCATTTCGCTTTTTCGGAAGCAGGCTGTCTTTATTCACAAGGAAGTGGGTGAGTAATTGTCCTGCTGTCCTCCGGTCAGCTGTCGTGTTGAGCTTTCTTACTTCAGAGGTGTCCGCTTATGGTGCGCGCGAAAGCGCAGAGCTGTCAAACATCTGCGCCGTCGTCGCTCAGCCGCGCATGTTTTAAGGCTCTGCACTTTGCACGCGGCAGTTGAGGACACCAAGTGAGTGCTACTTAAAAAGTTCGGTTTAGCACACACAGAAAACGACTATTTAACTAGTTCCGGTTCTTGTGGCTTGAAACAGAAACGTGAACAGAACCATTAGAAATGTAGGCGACAGTTGATCGTATTCGAGAGGTTTGGGGTCGGCGCGCGAGTTGTTTACCACCCAGGTGTCTTGTAGAAACATTTCATTCGTGAGACATATAATATAGGTTACAGTTAAGATCATTTACCAGTAGCCAAAGACTTGTATCACTTTAAAGTGGTTTATTTTGCGATGTCTTGAAGAGTGTAGAACCTTCCAAATAGGCCTACAATATGGAAGTAAATTATTGAATGAAGTTAAAATGGATAGGCCTAGTTCACCACCCTGTCATCATGTTGTTTCAAACCTGATAGAGTTTCTTTCTTCTGCTAAACACAAAATATATTTTTAAGAACCAAACATTTTTTTTTTTTAGTTTTTGGTTACCATTCTTCAAAATACATTATTTTGTGTTCAACAGAAGAAAAAAATGCATAAAATGTTTGAAACAACTTGAGGGTAAGTAAATGATGACAGAATTTACATTTTTTTGGTGAACAATCCCTTTCACTTAAGATCTAAGGACCTTAAATATGATCATCCTAGTGAGAGGGACCTCCTCCTGAATGTTTTTTTTTTTAAATGCATCAATACAGTTTCTTGTATGAAATTCTAATTTATAATACGAAAAATGTAATTACTAAATATGTCAAAAGTGATTTGAAAAAAAATTTAGTTTTTGTTTTACATTATTGTCTTTCTTTTTTTTTCTACTCCTTATAGTAGCTTACTTTTAGATGTATTGATTTACTTATTTATTGTAATCAAATTATTGTAATAACATTTTTACCCGTGTATTAACGTGTTGAGAACAGGAACAAAACTGTGTAGGAAACAGGTTTACCGGATGAGGGGTCAATTGTACAGTGTTGCCCTGAGCAGCCATTATTCAGAAATATTTGAGCTGCAGCGATTGACCAATCAGAATCAAGTATTTTACAGAGCAGTGTACTGAAGGTGCATGTTTAATGACTTGTCCTTGATTTTACTAATATTATTTGTATATGTGGATTTTTACCCTCTGATGAGTTTTGGTAGTTTATTCATGGGTGGCGAGGAATACTGTAAATCCTTTCAGTAAATCCTATCATTCAGCAGTGCAGTTTTACAAGGCTTGAATGAATTTAAAGGCTCCTTTGGTGAAATCTGTCAGTTCAACATGCAATGGTATAATCCACAGCAGATGATGTTGCCTCAAACTTAAACTCAGAATTGGAAATTACGAATTAGGCTACTATTTTTAGGCTATTGTTGCCATAAGCCTCGACCAGCCAACTTATCTATTGTTTAATCTAATGGCAGTTATTGCAATAATAATACTAATCTTCAGTTATGACAAGAACAACATCAATCAATAATAAAATATTATATTACTATAATAATCAAGTGGACAAGGTTAAAATTGGCATTAAGCGGAAGTGGCAATAGTCTTTTTTTGCTATTGTAATGGCTATATTGGAGTAAAACAGCTTTTGAAGAAGTAGAAATGGTCAGCTGATCGGGACTTGACTTTCTTCATCAGGAATTAATTGGATCAAAAATTGTGGTTTGCTTTTGATGTGGTGTGTGATGTCATGAGTGACAGGTTGTCCCGCCCTCACGCCAGTAAACATCAGAGAATACTTAGAGATGTTATTGTGCAAGAGAGAGGGGAAGTTATTTTGATGAAATAAAAGTGCATGAAATTCGTTTATAATATTACATTAAAAATAATAATTATCCAGTTGTCAGTGTGACTATATAAAACATTTGTGTATATTTTCATATATTACTAAGCATTTCTACCCCATGTGGTTACAAAATCATTGTAGGAAATTTGAGATTCCAAGTATAATGTGAATAAATGTCGACTTCTATGTGTGCATAATTAAATCTCCAATCGCAATTATTCGTGAAAGACAGTCAGGAAATGTCTTAATCGCAGCAGCCTTAGCGGATGCAACAACACGGCATTGAATACGACACGAGCATACAAGGTTGGTCAAGAGGGGCTAAATAATTCAGTGCACGATGGGAACGTGCGTCCTTAAAGAACCTAGACCATGGGACATATGCGATAAACAGCCCGTCAGCTCCAGTAAGGGGACACCGTTTACGAGTAGGCACTAGGCAGGCCCACTTCAGCGCGACTCTTGGGCCGATATGACTCGTGGGACGCCGTGTCTTGCATTTGGGTTTCCTGCACACTGTGCGCTTGTAAGAACGAGCGAGGTAGTAAAATAGTTCAGTTGCATAAGAGCACATGCAGCTGACGTCCCGATCTGCATTCATTATATGTTGACGTCAGAGCGGCCGTCTCGGGAGCGCGCAGCAGGTCATATGAGGGAGCTGCCTGCTTCACTCTCTTACTGTCTGAACATAATGTACGGATGAGTTATTCTCCGTGTTTTAAGCAGTCGTTGAAGCTTACGATTCAAAATGGTGCCCTGTTTGTGTTCTATTTACAGCACTTTATTTTTAGTGCCCTATTTGCCGCTGGTTTCTGAGTAAACTGATTTAGCGTGATCGTTTAGCTTAGCAGTCATTTCTTTACGAGCCCGAAGCATGTAGGACATGGATTACACCTTCGGATGAAGGATGAGACGTTAAAGGGATAGTTCACTTAAAATGTTTAATTACCCCATGATGTACTCACCCTTAAGCCATCCTAGGTGTATGATATTACTCTTTTTAGATGAATACAATCTGAGTTATATTTTAAAAATCCTGGCTCTTCTGAACCTTGGCAGTGAATGGGAGGCCACAATTTGAAGCCCTAAAAAATGCCTTCTGAAGCGAAGCGATGATGGGTTTGTAATTGCAATCTTGTAATTACGGTTATGACATAGGATGGATGCAGTAGCTTGTTGTTTTGATTAGTTTGGTTTGATTTTGGCGCTCAGCTGTTTGTCTACAACTTGCAGAATACGCTAATGATGTGTGCTAGCACCCATAGACAGGCAGGAAGGACATTGTATCATTGCATTTGGACAGAATGAGAATTAAAGGGGTGGTTGATTGCGATTTCACATTTAAATAGTGTGTTGCTGTTGGTGCATGAACAGTATCTGCAAAGTTGTAGTGCTGAAAGTTCAGTGTAAGCAGAGATATCGTCTTTTAAAAATCATGAAGTTTAATGCCTACAAAAACCACTCGAATGGGACTACAACGGGTTTTATACGTAACTAACCCTTGCATCAACCCTCTCTCTGGAATATGCAAAAAAGGGCATGGCCATATTTCTGCGGCTCATCGAAAGTGTGTTATGTTCACCCAGCTGTCAGGTCTTCTGTGTTCAGGCTCCCCACGGACGTTGTAGTTCGTTAACAATGGATACAATTCATGTTTCATTACATTCCTGAAAATTACAATCATAATTTAGCTATCTATGCTGCACATTTTATGAAAGACAGCTTCCAGAATCTCCACAAATTCAATGCCGGATTCAACAAGAAACTGTTACTAAAACATGAAGCAGTTCCAACTTTAAAACCAGAGGCAGCAGTTGGGCCACAACCTGTAAGTAAGACTTAATCATTTTAAATGTATTTGCGTATAAGTTCAGATGTAATGTTTTAGTTTTATCAATTGCCAACGCTGGCTTTATAGCCACTAGGCAACTAGTTATGCTATTTTGTGTCTACGACAAATGCGTATAAACATTTTGGACCTGAATTTGTATATGTACTAATTTTGTAAATGTATTTTTCATGTATACTTTATGACGTAATTTTTCGGTTTGATCAAGAATGTAAACCAATGTCAACACTGTTTGTGTATAGTAGGCAGTTCAATGCTATTGTGTAAAACAAATGTCTATAAAGTTTTGTAAGAAACGTTTTGTAAGAGCCTGTTTAGGGAGGTTCTGCTTGACTATCTTCATCGCCGCTTTCTGGGTCTGATTCTGGCTCATACTGATACTGACAGCAGTACATGACACCATGATGTACATTTGACAGGAACACATATGCAACTTTCTCCCATAAAGGTAATGGACGTGAAGCATCCGGACAACGTGCACACTATCCATTATGAGCCCACTGCCTGTTTCTGAGGGAGTGGTTTCATAGACTCAGGATGTAAACCGGTCGTTCAAATGACAGAGGAGAAAGCGGCTTACAATAATGAAAAATAAGACTTTTTAAAAAAAGAAAAATGTTACATGTTATATTGCACCCCATAAACACAATCATGCAAAGAAAAACAGCAGTAAACCACCCCTATAAATCAATAAATAAAACATTTTAACTTGTGATCATGCATTTGTACAACACAGTAAAAATCTCAGCTGATCTATAAATCTAAATAAATATGTTCTAGAATGATTTCTCATATTCCTCGTAGTTTTATTTGAACTTGGGAATTCATGATTTATTTGATCACAACACATACTGCAGCACCCACTTGTTGCTATCTGTGTTGGTAAAGCAGAAACCAGATTGACTGTCACTGCAGGAAGGAAGTCGTTGAAAAGGGAATTTTTTGTTCTGCAAAATAATTAAAATGACACAAAACAACATAAGTTGTTTTTTGTTTCTTGCATATCAGATATTTTACATGGATCATGATGAGTGAGATTTCACTCATGCTTTTTCATTAATCTTGTTATATATGCCATATGGCAATGCATTTGTGTGCATTTGGAATTATGGTAATGCATGTTTTGTTATACAGTGGGATTATTTAAATATGTTTGGACTTACTTTCCCCTGAAGACTGTATTAACCAATTGAGAGAGAGAGCAAGAGAGAGAGAGCTGTG